ACTCAAGGACATGTAAGTGCCTCTCTCTCTCTCTCTCTCTCTCTCTCTCTCTCTCTTTCTCTTTCTCTCTCTCTCCTTCATGCTATTCCCGACATTAATAACTCAGTTACTAACATTTTTCTAATGTTAGTAATTTTCTAATGTTAGTGTCAAAGCTCCACCAGTCTTCAGGACATAATTGATGAGTTCTCACCGCAATATTGAGGAATTTATGGTGCAGGATTCTAGAGAGAGGTGTGTGTGTGTGTGTGTGTGTGTGTGTGTGTGTGTGTGTGTGTGTGTGTGTGTGTGTGTGTGTGTGTGTGTGTGGGGGGGGAGGTGAGTTTCTGAGGTATGTGTGGAGGGAATGTGGGGAAGATCTGGGGAAGTGGGTTAATGGGGATGTGGGGAATGGGAGAGTTGAAGAGGATGTGGGGTGTGCTGCGGGAAGGGAAGGGGTAGGGGGTGAGGATCGAAGGGAAGGGGTAACACTAGTCTATAACACTGGTCGAAGTTCACATCCCCCCCTTTCAAAACGGGTCAGATATCAGAGCCAGAAAATGAACTCAAAAATGCCTTTTTATTGCTGGTAGAGACTTAGTAAAGCATCTAAACTGCCGGATTGGCCTCCAAGTCCTCTCGCTCTCTACTCTCTCTGACAGCCGCTTTAGAACAAGGAGACGGGCCGAGCCACTGGAGGACAAGGAGACGGGCCGAGCCACTGGAGGACAAGGAGACGGGCCGAGCCACTGGAGGACAAGGAGACGGGCCGAGCCGCTGGTGAACAAGAGGACGGGCCGAGCCGCTGGTGAACAAGAGGACGGGCCGAGCCGCTGGTGAACAAGAGGACGGGCCGAGCCGCTGGAGGGCAAGGAGACGGGCCGAGCCACTGGAGGACAAGGAGACGGGCCGAGCCGCTGGTGAACAAGAGGACGGGCCGAGCCGCTGGTGAACAAGAGGACGGGCCGAGCCACTGGAGGACAAGGAGACGGGCCGAGCCACTGGAGGACAAGGAGACGGGCCGAGCCGCTGCAATGACAGCAATCAGTACAAATAAGAAAATAAGACAGGCGCTCGTTACTCTGAGAGCCAGCGCCACCAAGAAGATTGCACATGGCACTAAACTCACAAATATCGGTGCCACGAGACCTATAAGTGGCACTGCCATGACAGTCATCGGGGATCAACGTGACTGGTCAATTACTGTCACTGACAGGCGTTGGATCGAAGGAGACAGTCCACGCCACCAGCTGACAGACTCAGCCAGTCATCAATTCCAATATCGCATATACGACCCTTGGAAAATCTGTCGTCCGAATGAAATTCTTTTTCATTCTCTCAGAGGAAAACTTTCCCCCTGTTAGTAAAAGTCTCAGAGATTGATAATGTCTCCGGAACACGAGGAGAATGGCGATATATCAGCTGTAGGGCCCTCATGTGTGTTTGTCACTCAGCTGCACATGAGAGAGGTCACTCAGGAGGGGCCCTCATGTGTGTTTGTCACTCAGCTGCACATGAGAGAGGTCACTCAGGAGGGGCCCTCATGTGTGTGTGTGTGTCACACAGCTGCACATGAGAGAGGTCACTCAGGAGGGCCCCCTCATGTGTGTGTGTCACACAGCTGCACATGAGAGAGGTCCCGCGGGAGGGGCCCTCATGTGTGTGTGTGTCACTCAGCTGCACATGAGAGAGGTCCCGCGGGAGGGGCCCTCATGTGTGTGTGTCACACAGCTGCACATGAGAGAGGTCCCGCGGGAGGGGCCCTCATGTGTGTGTGTCACTCAGCTGCACATGAGAGAGGTCCCGCGGGAGGGGCCCTCATGTGTGTGTGTGTCACACAGCTGCACATGAGAGAGGTCACTCAGGAGGGGCCCTCATGTGTGTGTGTCACACAGCTGCACATGAGAGAGGTCCCGCAGGAGGGGCCCTCATGTGTGTGTGTGTAACACAGCTGCACACGAGAGAGGTCACTCAGGAGGGGCCCTCATGTGTGTGTGTCACACAGCTGCACACGAGAGAGGTCACTCAGGAGGGGCCCTCATGTGTGTGTGTCACACAGCTGCACACGAGAGAGGTCACTCAGGAGGGGCCCTCATGTGTGTGTGTCACACAGCTGCACACGAGAGAGGTCCCGCAGGAGGGGCCCTCATGTGTGTGTGTCACACAGCTGCACATGAGAGAGGTCACTCAGGAGGGGCCCTCATGTGTGTGTGTCACACAGCTGCACATGAGAGAGGTCACTCAGGAGGGCCCTCACATGTTTTCAACAAGGGACGAGGGTTGCCGTATTTATCACTGCTGGTTAGTCGCTATATTCCATTTTCTGCCGCCCAGCTTTGCCTTTTTGGGATCCACATTTTATTCTCACATTTGCCACCAGTGTATTCTTGCCTGCCACCAGTGTACTCTTGCCTGCCACCAGTGTATTCTTGCCTGCCACCAGTGTATTCTTGCCTGCCACCAGTGTATTCTTGCCTGCCACCAGTGTATTCTTACCTGCCACCAGTGTATTCTTGCCTGCCACCAGTGTATTCTTGCCTGCCACCAGTGTACTCTTGCCTGCCACCAGTGTACTCTTGCCTGCCACCAATGTATTCTTGCCTGCCACCAGTGTATTCTTGCCTGCCACCAGTGTATTCTTGCCTGCCACCAGTGTATTCTTGCCTGCCACCACTGTACTCTGATACCGTGGAATCACCTCGGCGACAGCTAAATTAACATCACTCCAGTGACTGATATCGTGACATCACACCAATTTTTCAGTGGTCCGACTCTAATCTTGCTGGGGTTCCATCTCTGCACCTCTAATCTTGCTGGGGCTCCATCTCTGCACCTCTAATCTTTCTGGGGTTCCATCTCTGCTCCTGTCTCTCACTTGGTGTGGTGCACGTCAACGTTCACTGTGGTTCACCTCTACTGGTAAGACACACCACCAGTGAGGCGCAAAAGTGCTTAAGTGAGGCTCAGGTCCCCAACACCTCGTTCTCATCTGCGTCATCAACACTTGAACCCGTCTGAGGTGTGTCAAGCATCACCAGGCATACTAGGCATACTCAGTTCACATTTTATTGACATGCAGCAGCAGCAGCAGTAGTAGTAGTAGTAGTAGTAGTAGTAGTAGTAGTAGTAGTAGTAGTAGTAGTAGTAATAGTAGTAGTAGTAGTAGTAGTAGTAGTAGTAGTAGTAGTAGTAATAGTAGTAGTAGTAGTAGTAGTAAAACTGGGAACATTAGTAAAAGGTTTAGCTGGGGACAGCAGTAGCAGCAGTAGCCGCCTGAACTCAATCAACAACTACACCATTCTGGTTCCTGGAACGGTATCATGAACGGAAGATAACTACTGGAGTCAGAAGGAAAGATTCGGGAGTGGATATCATTCCAACGCTATCACCTGGGGCACACACACAGGCAGAGCGACATCAGCGGCACATGGGACGCTGGCGAACATTAGAACGTCGTTTAGAAACAAAACCAGGACTCTTTTCAAGACAATCCTCACAATAGTTTTAGACCAACACTGGAATATGCAACATCTTTTGACTCACAAAACAAAATTTAAGAAGTAGAGAAGTTTGCCAAAAATATCTTAGATATAAATATATTAAAAAATATATATTAAATTTATATTATTTATAGATAAAATAAAATATATTAAAAATATCTAACCCTCTTAGCCTGAGCTAAGAGGGTTAACTTATGAAGATAGGGTGAGGGAACTGGACCTCACAACATTGGAAGACAGAAAAAACAGAGGAAATATGATCGCAACATACAAGATACTGGGGGTGGGGGGGATAGACAAGGTGGACACAGAAAGCCTCTTTAAATTAAGGGAAACTAGAAAAAGAGAACGCAAATAGAAGATGGAAAAACAATTGAGTATCTTGAGGTTATCTTGAGATGATTTCGGGGCTTTAGTGTCCCCGCGGCCCGGTCCTCGACCAGGCCTCCACCCCCAGGAAGCAGCCCGTGACAGCTGACTAACACCCAGGTACCTATTTTACTGCTAGGTAACAGGGGCATAGGATGAAAGAAACTCTGCCCATTGTTTCTCGCCGGCGCCTGGGATCGAACCCAGGACCAGGAGTAGAATAAACGCAAGGAATTACTTGTAACCTGTACGGCTGGTCAACAAGTGGAATGCACTGAAAGAAGAAGTTGTGGAAACCCCCTCCACCCACAACCATAAGGACAGATTCGACAAAGAATTTGGTCGTCATAATAGTTAAGTTGTGATACAATAGGTAAACTAGGAGCAGCAGGCGGGGCATGAAGAGCTAGAGCTCGCGTCCCCATAGTCACTGACAGGTAAGTACTCATAGGTAAGTAGAGGAGCAGAAACAGCAGGAAGCAGAGGAGCAGAAGCAGCAGGAAGCATAAGTAGAAGGAAGCAGAAGCACCAGGAAGCAGAAGAGCAGATGAGCAGAAGCAGCAGGAAGCAGACGAGCAGGACGCAGAAGCAGAAGAAGCAGGAAGCAGAGGAGCAGATGAGCAGAAGCAGTAGGAACCAGAAGAAGCAGGAAGCAGAAGAAGCAGAGGAGCAGATGAGCAGAAGCAGCGGGAAGCAGAGGAGCAGATTAAGCAGGAAGAACAGTAGCAGCGGGCGAGGGCCTGGCCGACGCCACCAACGTGGTATTGAACGAAGACCTCACTGCAATAAACTCAAGGAACACCCGAGAGACCCTCGACGCCGAGCTCTGAAGACACTTGAGGGCAGAAGAGTGCTCCTCCAAATGTCGCTCAAGTTCTGGTAATGTTTCCTCTCAGGAAATTACAGTCTTCATTAAAAGTTTCATCTAAATTGTTCTCCGAAGCCTCAACAACTTCCCTCGTAAGAATTGCCAACGTCGCAGTTT